TGACATGTAGTAAATAAATAAATTAATTAATTAATAAATAATAACCAAATATATACTATTTAAAACAAACCATTGTCCAGATGGTTTTATAGTCTTTTGGTGCACTCGCCACACTATTTATGATGCCATGCAAGATCTATTGATTGTTTTGCATTTGAGGCGAAATTACTTTTAAAAATTCACCTCAGAGAGAGTAAAAGAGGTGTCAAGTAAACCACAGGGGCTGTAACAAACGTGGCGGAGCGTGACTCGTTTAGCAAACCAGGGGTTGACGTAGTTTATTAAACGATGAGGTCCATAGTCAATAGCATTATGTCCCAAATTCAAGTTTTAATTTTAGAGAATCTCTTTCTTAGGCTACGGGACAAGTATTTAGTGGTGGTTTGAGAACAATCATTTGAATAAGCTACTTGTAAACACCTAGCCGTTTTAACTCATATTTATAATATTAGGATATTTTTACGATTTATAATTTTAGTGACTTATTAGAAGTAATAATCACAAAAAATTAAGCAATAAGTGCCATACTTACTTACTCACACAAACGCAATTAAAATAATAATTGCTATATACCAATCATTCTTGTCGATCACAAACAGTTGACCACTTTGAGCAAAAGTAGAGATACACTTTTTAGTTGACCTCTTCCTCGTCTTTAGTTCTATCGTGTTATAATCATTCTGTTAACAGTAACTGTAAAAGTAACTAATCAAATTTGGGTGAACTTACTTCCACTACCACATCTTAGACCGTTTTTATGCACAGGGGCAGTGGTTAGTACCACCGCGCCCGCTGAAAACCTACGGCTGAGGCAATTATAACTATCTGGCAATTAGCAGCCCGTAGCTATAACCACAGACAATGGTATATTCTCTGTGCTATAACTAGCTTCCTATACCAACCGTGGTAGAGAAAGTAAGTGTTTTCAATATCAATTCATTACTCTTTAAGAGATGAATTCACAACACTTTATATCGAAATTTGTCGAACGCTCGTGTATGCTACTTTTTAAAGATCTGGGCATTCTTACAGCCTTCAGTCATTGAATATCTTAATACTTCTGAAAGAGAATGTCCATCTGTTTGACCGAAGATAAGTTCATCACCGCTATGACACCCGGCAAGCACTACACCTTGACATGCCGCGATGTCGTCTCACCCCTTAAGAGCTATCCCCGCTATGCCATAAGGCTTTTTAATACCTTGCCGGATAAGGTGCGGGAACATCAGCTCTTGCAAAGTGGCAATGAGAAATAGCTTAGTAAATAGGCCACTATACTAGCTGGAGATGAGTGAAGAGCCCCTAAAAGTTACGTAAAAGCTCTTCTCTAAAAATTGGAAACTCGTTTTTTATTTACCGCCACAGCCTGATTAAGTTTATATGTATGTAAATAGTAGTGTTTATTTTGTAAATGTATATATAATAACGCAGTATATCTGACATTGTCGGTCAACGACGCAGCAAACAAGTATCAAGTATGATCTTCAGGTTTGACCTCAAACCTGATGTAAGGTTAAATTATCTGAACCTAACCTGTATAGTAAGCCAAGTCTCGCCGAGGTAATGAGGCGCTTCTATCTTGAGAGCTTTGTTGTCAAGCAGCAGGTCAGCTACCCACATACATCATCCATCATCCATCATACATCATTTGTCAGCATCCATTGGGATACGCTTTCTACACACTTGAAGGGCACACTTATTCAAGACATTGATTTAAAAACAATACCTTGCTTAAATGTTTATCCTCGCTATATAATCCCTAGTGAAGTTATTCTTGAATAGCAGGAAGGTTGTATGGTATTATATGGTATGGTAGTAGGATAAAATAGCAGGATAGTAAGATATATATAAACCTGCAAATAATCCATGCGTGTTAAAATGCAGAGGTGAAATATTCCAAAACAAAGGACAAAATTATCGTTTTTAAACGTATGAACACTACCTCTTTGTACTGATCTCACATAAAGCACTCCTTGCCCTCAAGGGTAACCTCGATGGAAATTAACCTGTATCATAATTTGTGATACAGCACCGTGATGGCGTACACATACGACCTCCTCAATCATGGGATGTAAGCTTTTTTAAGCTAGTAATGACAACACATTTAGCTGAAATGTATTTTGAAGTCATGTATGGCCGGCTCACAGTTTTAGGCCTTGCTTTACAAAACATTACATATTCATTATGTTTCTAATCACGATTGAAAAAAATTATATATTTCATTACTTATTTTGTAAAGAAAAAAAAGAGATTCTTCACTTATATTCAAAATATACTCTTTACTTAACTGATCATTCCATCAACCAAAATCACCTCACACCTTTATGTAATACAATTTGGCTATTCCATACAGGTGTGAGTATTATAAAAAGTTGCCCCGTGGTGGGGTTTGAAAATGAAATTTAATTTATTTAATCAGACTGCTGAGGACGTTACAATCACAGAGCTGCGCAGTGGAAATAAAGATGTTAAGTGTGGGCCCTGTAATTAAATATCCCAGCAGTCCGATTTATGGACCGTGAGAGGTCTGATATGTTGTCCTCCTTCACACCTTCTTCAGCTTAATTCTAACACTTCTTAAAACTAATAGATGTGTCTATTTGATCACTCCATGAAATAAAATGTGCTGTTCTGATGAAAGATTGTGATATGAATTGATACTCTGTAAAACTGTAAAATTGCAAATAATAATATTGAAATATTGATTGAAAATATTTGTGAAACTGTTTGTTCAGGAAATATTTATCAAAAGTATGACTTCAAGATGTTTATATATACTGGATTCGGTTAAGCCGATTGCTCATGAATTCACCAATTTAACATTAAACATTATGAACTGAGCTTATAAAAATTGCACTGTCAAAATATATTTACAAAATGTGATCATCAACACTCATTGTGAATACTTTGTATACCTCTTTCAGTTAAGCCATTTACCTCTTTACTTTACCAGTTTTATACTAATGATACTAACAGCTGAAACACAGGATAATGAAAAGATGGTGATTTGTAAAAATACTGTATAATGAATCAAAATTACGAGCTGTGATACAAATATTGAACGTAAACAATGTAATAACCTTTTTTGTGCACAATTTAACAATATTTTGAAAAAGAGAGTGAGAGAGTTGATTGTAAGATTGAATGTTCAAATTGGCGGTTTGTTCATTTTTTAAAACTGCAAAGTCTCGGGAAAACCTAGCCTTGATGATTTTATTTATTTGTTTTGGATCACCAGACTCCCCAAAGATGTTCGTACTTATCAAACTGGCCAGTTTACAATTTAATCAAACAGGGACTATTATGTAGGTTTGTGATCTACATCACTCCTTGCTGATCAGTGCAACGGGGCCAATCGACTGCTGAGTCGATTATTTGATAATTTTTTATTTAATATTTAATATTTATGAATTTAATGGGAGTCCATCCTCATGACCCTTTATCAACCCTAGCCTTCGACCGAGCACTCTGTTACCCCCATTTACGTTACACAATCAAACTCTCACTATTTAAAAAATGTAATACTATTCAAAAATTATTCTACACATGAAATTCAAACGTTTTAAATAATAATACTGACGATGATAGAATCTGACTTTACATAGAATACAAAAATAATAATATCACAGATAAACATTGCTCTTTAAATTAATATACCATTTCAATTCAATTTAATAAATAATTTTCATTTGACTAGGATCACTATTATAACTTAAATTCTTTGTATGACATGACCAAATTTAATAGAACATTTTATCCTGAATCGTGACCATGTGCTCTAAGTAGACCAAATGAAACATGAAAATCTCAGACCAAACAAAACATGATTCATAACTTGTAAAACGAGTGGTACATGTGAAAAAATGTGGCAGATTGGCAAGACTATTTTAATACTAAAACACAAATAACACAAACATTTACTTACGTACACATGTCGACACATTAACATTCATTCCGACGAAGATTCACGCGTACCGAACATTTAAAAACTGACTCGTGGTAATTTTGACTTTTGTCTGACCGAGCGGAATATCACGACACGGTTTTTTCTGGTGTAGGACTTATTAATTCTTGTTTTTTCGAGCTGGCGTTTAATGATTCAATTGAAAATACCGTCACGACGACCCGTGATTCGCTAGAAACTGACATTTGCTATCGATATGATGCATGTACGAATTTTCATCACGAACGCGAACAATCAATCCGGCATCTCAACTGTCTCGACTTAATACTAATAAAACACACACCCAAATGCAATTCGGCGAAATTTTGACAATTGCGATCGTTTGATGCACGTACAATTTCCGCCCGAACGCTAATTTCCGAGCTACGAATTAAGATATTAATAAATTCGTCCTACACCAGCGACAAAACGCGACTTCACATGTTGACTACGCGAGTACTGAGCCACGAGTGACTACGACGAGACGCTTTGCACACGGCCCGGTTCCCAACGGTCGTTGTATCCTTCCGCGTTACGTCATGTTGGACTGACTTGTCCATTGCCTGTCGCGGATTTTAAATCTTTTGATTTAAAAATCGGCACAGAAATCTCCCCTGCCAAAAAAATTGGCCCGAGCGACCTTCAGGTCCGCACGAAGGCCTTTTCCATCCCGGGACAATTTCGACCCGGCGCGACGACGCTTGACGTGGCAACAGACGCTTCATTCATACGACACATTTTTTTTGTTCATTTTCCCATTGATTTACATTTAATACATTTAACACGAAACAATTTTACACATAAACATTTGAAATTTGAATAACAAAAATAGAAAATCTGAAACTTTAACAATAATAAACATTTTGCTTTGAGGTCGGTACTGAGAAATTAAAAATTGTTGTCAACTAACACCTTGTGTCATAAACCAAAACTGCATCAATCCATCAACAATTTGAATGGTGTAAACGCGCACGCTTAACACACTGTAGAATTATCTAGCATTCAGCGTTGAGTAGATGTCAACAATCAGTTCATTGACCCGTAGCGCAGTCGACAGTCAGCTGTTGCCGATGGAGTGGGCGGGGGCGGGGGACATTGTTGTGGTGAACGGCCCGATGTCTGCCTGTCTGTGCGGGTAGGTTCTACTCTCGCCCCACCACAGCTGGAACGTGACCTCTGTTGGCCAGCCTTCATGTCGCTCACAGTGGTTACATAACATGACTCGGATGATTCATTGTTTCTCAAAATATGTAATTATGAAAATGTTTAAAACAATTGATCTCAGTTTGACTCTATTTACTCAAAATTGAAAACTATTGCACATGTAAATATAAATGTAAATATAAATATAAATAATCTCTGTACGAATATGACACAAATAAATAAACAAGTAAACAAACACAGAAATATCAATGTGGATAATTGCCTTAGAGATAACAACTGATACCCTTATCAATGCCAACCTGCCTTGGTAGTAATGCCAATCTGCTTCCTTGTTACCAGACCTCTCAAATTAGTGCTATCACTTTTTGTAAAGAAAAAAAAGAGATTCTTCACTTATATTCAAAATATACTCTTTACTTAACTGATCATTCCATCAACCAAAATCACCTCACACCTTTATGTAATACAATTTGGCTATTCCATACAGGTGTGAGTATTATAAAAAGTTGCCCCGTGGTGGGGTTTGAAAATGAAATTTAATTTATTTAATCAGACTGCTGAGGACGTTACAATCACAGAGCTGCGCAGTGGAAATAAAGATGTTAAGTGTGGGCCCTGTAATTAAATATCCCAGCAGTCCGATTTATGGACCGTGAGAGGTCTGATATGTTGTCCTCCTTCACACCTTCTTCAGCTTAATTCTAACACTTCTTAAAACTAATAGATGTGTCTATTTGATCACTCCATGAAATAAAATGTGCTGTTCTGATGAAAGATTGTGATATGAATTGATACTCTGTAAAACTGTAAAATTGCAAATAATAATATTGAAATATTGATTGAAAATATTTGTGAAACTGTTTGTTCAGGAAATATTTATCAAAAGTATGACTTCAAGATGTTTATATATACTGGATTCGGTTAAGCCGATTGCTCATGAATTCACCAATTTAACATTAAACATTATGAACTGAGCTTATAAAAATTGCACTGTCAAAATATATTTACAAAATGTGATCATCAACACTCATTGTGAATACTTTGTATACCTCTTTCAGTTAAGCCATTTACCTCTTTACTTTACCAGTTTTATACTAATGATACTAACAGCTGAAACACAGGATAATGAAAAGATGGTGATTTGTAAAAATACTGTATAATGAATCAAAATTACGAGCTGTGATACAAATATTGAACGTAAACAATGTAATAACCTTTTTTGTGCACAATTTAACAATATTTTGAAAAAGAGAGTGAGAGAGTTGATTGTAAGATTGAATGTTCAAATTGGCGGTTTGTTCATTTTTTAAAACTGCAAAGTCTCGGGAAAACCTAGCCTTGATGATTTTATTTATTTGTTTTGGATCACCAGACTCCCCAAAGATGTTCGTACTTATCAAACTGGCCAGTTTACAATTTAATCAAACAGGGACTATTATGTAGGTTTGTGATCTACATCACTCCTTGCTGATCAGTGCAACGGGGCCAATCGACTGCTGAGTCGATTATTTGATAATTTTTTATTTAATATTTAATATTTATGAATTTAATGGGAGTCTATCCTCATGACCCTTTATCAACCCTAGCCTTCGACCGAGCACTCTGTTACCCCCATTTACGTTACACAATCAAACTCTCACTATTTAAAAAATGTAATACTATTCAAAAATTATTCTACACATGAAATTCAAACGTTTTAAATAATAATACTGACGATGATAGAATCTGACTTTACATAGAATACAAAAATAATAATATCACAGATAAACATTGCTCTTTAAATTAATATACCATTTCAATTCAATTTAATAAATAATTTTCATTTGACTAGGATCACTATTATAACTTAAATTCTTTGTATGACATGACCAAATTTAATAGAACATTTTATCCTGAATCGTGACCATGTGCTCTAAGTAGACCAAATGAAACATGAAAATCTCAGACCAAACAAAACATGATTCATAACTTGTAAAACGAGTGGTACATGTGAAAAAATGTGGCAGATTGGCAAGACTATTTTAATACTAAAACACAAATAACACAAACATTTACTTACGTACACATGTCGACACATTAACATTCATTCCGACGAAGATTCACGCGTACCGAACATTTAAAAACTGACTCGTGGTAATTTTGACTTTTGTCTGACCGAGCGGAATATCACGACACGGTTTTTTCTGGTGTAGGACTTATTAATTCTTGTTTTTTCGAGCTGGCGTTTAATGATTCAATTGAAAATACCGTCACGACGACCCGTGATTCGCTAGAAACTGACATTTGCTATCGATATGATGCATGTACGAATTTTCATCACGAACGCGAACAATCAATCCGGCATCTCAACTGTCTCGACTTAATACTAATAAAACACACACCCAAATGCAATTCGGCGAAATTTTGACAATTGCGATCGTTTGATGCACGTACAATTTCCGCCCGAACGCTAATTTCCGAGCTACGAATTAAGATATTAATAAATTCGTCCTACACCAGCGACAAAACGCGACTTCACATGTTGACTACGCGAGTACTGAGCCACGAGTGACTACGACGAGACGCTTTGCACACGGCCCGGTTCCCAACGGTCGTTGTATCCTTCCGCGTTACGTCATGTTGGACTGACTTGTCCATTGCCTGTCGCGGATTTTAAATCTTTTGATTTAAAAATCGGCACAATTTGGATTTAATATTGATTAAATAGAATGAATCCAACTCATTGAAACAAAGGAATTCCTAAAATAGTTACGCCATGAGGTACAATTTCAGACATTCGTGCTCGGAGAACTGCACGAGGGACTTTAGCATCACAATGTTTGCTGCTGAAAGAGTAGTTTGTTAGTCAGTGTCTACTGTAAATAGCCTGCAACACTTTGTGGCAAAATTAAAATCTTATTTGAAGCTTGGAAACAACTCTAGTTACTGGGTATTCTTTCCACGTAAATACAATTGACCATTCATTTCATGGAATCGGAACGTGATTTTATTAAAACCTGTGGAACATCCAATATAAATCATTTGTGAAAATTTCTTAAACATATTTGTTTTGGTTTATGATTTACTCTTATGTATATTTGTAATATTATTTAGAAAAACTCTAATCTACATATCAATATCTAGCTTCAAACAAGATTTTCCGAAAGTTTGCAATTCGATTGACATAAAAGGCCATCATCATCGGGTAAATGATTATTTATATAGTGAATTATTTTAAATTAGTTTGAAAAAGATTTATTAATACAGTATGTGTATTGGTTTTATTTTTTCTGTCAATTATTTTAATGGTTAGGCCTGATATTATGATCATTTAAATTTTAAGGGGTTGTTATGGCTTGGAACACAAAGAAGGGTAATTGGAATTCGATTATACAAATGTTTATTTAATATTATCGACGCAATCGCTTAGACAACTACAGATGAATAATGATAACAGAACAGATATGTATTAACGAGAACAACGAATGGCAAGTGCTAAACGACAAAATATGATTCTGAATCAAATATTAAGGTTTATGTTAATATTATCAAAGAGGTATAAAAACATAGATGCAATAGAAGTTGATCTTTATGTAAATATCTACTATTGTTTTAAATAACTCTATCTTATACAATTTCTCATTTTATAAATATGAAAAAGTATTAGGTCTCCAACTGTATTCCAAAACTATCTGTGTCCTAAGTACACAAATAACTAGTTCAAAGTAAGAGTGGAGGACGGGTTTATCTTGGTTTAATCAGTGCTGGTTTCAGGAGGAGAGTGAGTCGTATCTTTTTGAAAACTGCCACCAAAGTTATTTCACAATTTAGCAACAAAAAGAGGGTAAGGCCGTGATCAGCAATTCGTTGTATATTGAAGTTACTGAATGCAGGAAGTAGCACAAATCTGCTTACACTCAGCAACCTACTTTACGCAACCGAGTGCTGAAAAAGTGACACCTACAACTATTTGATTGATTGAAAATCATATACAAAGTCTTAACACTAGCTGTTTGTTAAATTTGGTCAACTTTTTAGGAAAGAGTGTAACGTTTACAGGGTAGATACCCTTACTTATCACTCACAATCAATTATCAATTAATCAATCAATCAATTATCAATTATTTAAGATGGGGACGCCACTATGTGCGTATTTTAACCCAAATATGAGTGAAGGATGAGTGTAGGATGAGTGGCGCGATCTTGTATTCTTGTTAGTGACTAAGGCCGACATGTTCCTTAGGCACAGCTGTTAACTAATAGCCCATACAGCTAATGGCAACTAAGGGACCTACAGTTTATTGTGGAATCCGAACCACATTTTTTCCTCGTAATTAACGAGTTGGTCTATTAATTAGGATAGTACTGCGGATAGTCGTAGTAGTACTTACTAGTGCGGACGTTAATCCACACCAGGGAGCATCGCATCCACAGTGCATCCCTATAAATATCCACAATTCGTGACCTCCTAGTAGCTGGATTACAGGACGACGCCACCCGTCCCAGTCAGTTTTACTGTTTTAATAATTAAGTTTTTAACAAACGTACAATAAACGTGTTTACCTTACTAAAATGTTATGATTCAAGAGACAGCAGGAGAGCTGGAATAAGATTTTACTGCACTTTTACAGCCAAGAAAACATGGTTGTTCCTCAGGCGTCAGTCAGTTAATATACAACATTTCATACTGTGTTTATGCGAACGTAAAAATCGTTTACTGCTATCCGTGCAGTAGTAAAACACCAATATTGCTTAGGAGCATACAGTGTTTGAATACGCTTCTAGTTGTTGACAAACATGAATGTTTATGATGTTATCATTTGGTTTTAGCGAATTTCCCTATAGGGAAGTAGCTATTACCGTAGGTCTCATGGTAAGACTTAGGCCTGGCACCAATTTACTTTTTCATTTTGATGTCCCTAGAGGCCAAAAACACCATTCGTTCAAATTTTTATATATGTATATATACAGGGTGAATTTTAAATGAGTCCCCCCCCCCCTACTTTTTTCTACATTTCTTAAGATATCATCTC